AAGCAGGCTTCATCCCAGAAATGCAGGGATGGTTCAACATATAAAAATCTGTCAATGTGCCGGGTGTTGGTGGCGCACGCCTTTAATCCCAGCACTCGGGAGGCAAAGGCAGGTTGATCTCTGTGAGTTTGAGGTCAGCCTGGTCTCCAGAGCGAGTGCCAGGATAGGCTCCAAAGCCACAGAGAAACCCTGTCTCAAAAAAACAAAAAACAAAAAATAAAAATCTGTCAATGTAATCCACAATATAAACAAACTGAAAGAAAAAAAAAACATATGATCATCTCATTAGATGCTGAAAACCTTTGACAAAATCCAACACCCCTTCCTGATAAAGGTCTTGGAGAGATCAGGGATACAAGGAACATACCTAAACATAATAATAACAATATATAGCAAGCTGACAGCCAACATCAAATTAAATGGAGACAAACTCAAAGCAATTATACTAAAATCAGAAAGACTGCCCACTCTCTCCATATCTATTCAATATAGTACTCAAAGTTCTAGCTAGAGCAATTAAGACAACAAAAGAAGATCAAGTGGATACAAATTGAAAAGGAAGAAGTCAAACTTTCCCTATTTGCAGATGATATGTGAGTATACATAAGTGACCCCAAAAATTTTACCAAGGAACTCCTACAGCTGATAAACACCATCAGTGATGTGGATACACGCACGATTAACTTTAAAAAATTAGTAGCCCTCCTATATGTAAATGATAAATGGGCTGAGAAAGAAACAACACCCTTTACAATAGCCACAAATAACATAAAATATCTTGGGGTATCTCTAACCAAACAAGTGAAAGACCTGTATGACAAGAACTTTAAGTTTTTGGGGTTTTTTTGGTTTTTTTTTCTTTTTTCTTTTTTGGTTTTTCGAGACAGGGTTTCTCTGTGTAGCTTTGGAGCCTATCCTGGCACTCGCTCTGGAGACCAGGCTGGCCTCAAACTCAGAGAGATCTGCCTGCCTCTGCCTCCCAGGTGCTGGGGTTAAAGTCGCGCACCACCAACGCCCAGCTTGAACTTTAAGTCTTTGAAGAAAGAAATTGAAAAGGATATCAGAAAATGTAAAGATCTCCCAGGCTCTTTGATAAGCAAGATTAATATGGTAAAACTGACAAATCTTAACAAAAGCAATCTACAGATTCAATGCAATCCCCATCAAAATCCCAACACAATTCTTCACAGACCTCAAAAAAAAAAAAAAACAATACTCAACTTCATATGGAAAAATAAAAAAACCCAAGATAGCCAAAACAACCCTGTACAATAAAGGAACTTCTGGAGGCATCACTACCCCTGATTTCAAGCTCTACTACTATAGAGTAGAGCTATAGTAATAAAAACAGGTTGGTATTGGCACAAAAACAGACATGTGGATCAGTGGAATTGAATCAAAGTCCCTGGCATAAATCCACACACCTATAAACACCTGATTTTTACAAAGAAGCCAAAATTACACAATGGAAAAAAGAAAGCCATCTTCAACAAATGGTGCTGGCATAACTGGATGTTGACATGCAGAAAATTGCAAATAGATCCATATCTATTACCAAGCACCAAACTCAAGTCCAAGTGGATCAAAGACTTTAATGCAAAGCCAGTTACACTGAACCTGACAGAAGAGAAAGTGGGAAGTAGTCTTGAACACTTTGGCACAGGAGACTACTTCCTGAATATAACACCAGTAGCATAGACACTGAGATCAACAATTAATAAATAGGACCTCCTGAAACTGAAAAGCTTTTGTAGGGCAAAGGACATGGGCGATAAGACCAAATGGCAGCCTACAGAATGGGAAAAGATCTTCACTAACCCCACATCAGGCAGAGGGCTGATCCCCAAAATATATAAAGAACTCAATAAACTAGACATCAAAATACCAAATAATCCAATTTAAAAATGGGGTACAGACCTAAACAGAAAATTCTCAACAGAAGAATCTCAAATGACCAAAAGACAGTTAAGAAATTGCTCAACATTCTTAGTCAACAGAGAAATGCAAATCAAAACAACTCTGAGATACCATCTTACACCTGTCAGAATGGCTAAGATCAAAAACACTGTGACAGCTTATGTTGGAGAGGATATGGAGTAAGGGGAACACTTCTCCACTGCTGGTGGGAGTGAAAACTTGTACAGCCATTTGGAAATCAGTATGGTGGTTTCTTAGTAAATTGGGAATCAATTTACCTCAAGACCCAGTGACACCACTCTTGGGCATATACCCAAAGGAGCTCAATTATACCACAAGGACACTTGCTCAACTATGTTCATAGCAGCATTATTCATAATATCCAGAACCTGGAAACAACCTAGACCCTCCTCAACCAATGAATGGATAAAGAAAATGTGGTACATTCATACAACTGAGTATTACTCAGTAATCAAAAACAATGACATCATAAAATTTGCAGGCAAATGAATAGAACTAGAAAAAAAATCCTCAGTGAAGTAACTCAGACCAGAAAAACAAACACCACAAGCACTCACTCATAAGTGGACATTAGATGTAAAGCAAAAAATAACCAGGCTACTATCCACAGCCCCAGAAAAGCTAGGTGATAAGGAGGACCCTACAAGGGATGCATGGATCACACCAGGAAGGGGAAATAGATGAGATCTATTGGGTAAACTGAGGGTAGGGGAGGTAAGGAGAAGGGGATGGGAGATAGGAACATGATGTATCAGGATGGCCAAGTTGGGGGAGGGTTGGAGAGGGAGAGCATTGAAAAGAGATATCTTGATAGAGGAGGCTATTATGGGGCTAGGGAGAAACCTGGTGCCAGGGAAACTCCCAGGATGACCCCAGCTAAGACTCCTAGCAATATTGAAGAGAGAGGGTGCCTGAACTTGCCTTCTTCTGTAATCAGATTGGTGACTACCATAATTGTCATCATAGAACCTCACCTAATAATTGATGGAAGCAGATGCAGAGACCCACAGCCAAGCACTGGGCCAAGGTCTGGGAGTCCAGCTGAAGAAAGGGAGGAGAGGTTTTTATGAGCAAGGGTAAGTGGAGTCATGATGGGGAAACCCACATAGACAGCTGACCCAAGCTCATGGGAACCCACAGACTCTAGACTGATAGCTAGGGAGCCTACATGGGACTGACCTGGGCCCTCTGCATGTGGGTGGCAGTCCTGTAGCTTGGTCTGTTTGTGGGGTCCCTAGCAGTGGGACCAGGATCTGCCCCTGGTGCTTGAGCTGGCTTTTTGGAACCTATTCCCTAAGGTGGGATGCCTTGCCCAGAGTTGATGCAGGGGGAGGAGCTTGGTTCTGCTTCATCTTGATTTTTCTTGCTTTGTTGACTCCCATGGGAGGCCTGGCCCTTTCTGAGAAGTGAATGGGGGGTAGTTTAGAAAGGAGGGAGAGGGAGGGAATGGGAGGAGAGGAGGGAAGGGCAAATGTGGTTGGTATGTAAAATAAATTAAAATATGAGTATACATTTATTTCCTCTCTGTATTCAAGATTTTCCAAATCCACATTTTACACAAAAAGCAGATCTGTCTTGAATGTCTATTTCTTAAAATGAGCTATATAAAGAAATTATAAAAAGAAGTCATGAATTTGAAAGAGAGTATGTAGTGATATATGGGAGTTTGAGGGAGGAAAGGGAAAGAAGAAAATGATGTAGTTTCAAAAACTAAAAAAAAAATAATTTTTAAAAAACTGCTTCAAAACAGGTGTAGTGGTGCACGCCTCTAGTCCTAGCACTCAGAAGGCAGCGGCACGTAGATCTCTGTGAGCTTGAGGACAACCTGGTCTATAGAGCAAATTCTAGGACAGCCAGGTCTACAAAGACAGAACCTGTCTCAAAAAATGCAAACAAACAAAAAGAACTGCATCAAAATCACCTAGTGATGAGTATGGTGGAACTTGCCTATAATCCTAGCACTAAAAAGGCTGAGGCAAGAAATCAAAAGTTTGCAATGATTCTAGTCAGCATTGATTACAAAGCAAGACCCTGCCTCAAAGATTCTGGGGTTCCACCTCAACTGACTCCTGTGCAAAGATTTTAGAACTACTGCCTTAGGGAGAAAAAGGTAAAGGAGCCAAGCCAAGTGGTGCTGAGGAGGATCCCAAATTCAAGGCCTGACTGGATTATAAAGAAAAGTAAAGGAAGACCAGGCATGGTGATGCTAGGGAGGCAGAAGGGGATCCATCTCTGTGAGTTACAAGATCAAGTTTCAGGCTTGCCAAGACTTCAGAATGATAGCCTATCTAAAATTGGAAAGGAAAAAAAAAAGGTAAAGGGAATCTAAGTATCTAAAATAAGTATCTTTTATTATATAAATCACATGTAACTATCTTAAACATATAAGGATCATCTACTCAAAAGTTCACCCCTGACACAGTATGAAAAAGTAAGTCACACCAATAACCCAAAGATTTTTCTGTCATTTTGTCATGAGAATGAAAGAATGACACTTAAAAAAAAAAAGAATGTTTTTAAATATGTATGGGTGTTCTGCCTGTATGTATGTCTGTTCACCACATATCTGTGGAGACCAGAAGAAGACATTGTATCCTCTAGAACTAGAGTTATAGTGTGTGTGTGTGTGTGTGTGTGTGTGTGTGTATTTACAACACCATGTGGGTATTGGAAATCAAATCTCTGGAAGAACAATAAGTGTTCTTTTAATCACTGAGTCATTACTCCAGCCCACTAAAGGTTCTTTTAAATTTTTTTCTTGTGTGTGTGTGATATATACACACGCACACACACACAAAGGTCAGGGGACAACTTTTAGAGTCAGTTTTCTTCCACCATGAGGATGAAGGGGATTGAACTCAGGTAATCAGGCATGGCTACAAGCATCTTTAAACCTCTGAGCCATCTTACCCACCCCTAAATACACTTTTTAAGGGTTCTCATACACAATTTTTAAAACGGTAATCTTTAAATGAAATCCAGTAGGTCATTAAAATGTCTAACTACTAACTCTCAGAATCAATGAAAAACACTGCATTCAATTAGGGTAGCATTTTAGTTACCTGGAAATATCTCCCCAGTACCATTCTGCATCTTGAAGAGAAATGAAACTGTCCTTCACTCCATTTGTAACTGCTGAAGTCATTGGCTTAGGTGGCTTTGGTGGAAGAGCTAGAAGAGAAATTTATGTTATTTTGTATATGTAAATGATTCATTTTCCACCCAGGAATAGCTCCTTAACCTATTTGCAATAAGATTCAAACAACTGCCAGTCAAACCAGCTGTCACATTAATGTTGGCCAGGGGGGCACTTTTGAAACACTATGAAAGTAAAGGTTTCTCCTCCTCATAAAAATACTTTTACTTCAAAAAAAAAATACTTTTACTTCAGTAAAACTTAACATCTTCAAAACACAAGTAAAGCTCTAACCTGAGCAATTCATTCCAAAAGCTATTAATACAAAGACTCTACATAGTATTATATTGGATATTGGCAATGTACCACCATATTAGATTTTAGGTATTCTTTTTCTTCTTGAGATGGGATCTCATTGCACCATCCTAACTGTCCTGGAATGTACTAAGTAAACCTATGTGGACTGCAGGTAAGGTGTGTGTTGAGCTAGCCTGGTGACCTAAGTTCAAGTCTCCAGGACCCACAGAAAGGTGGAAGGAGCCATCTTTTGACTACTACATACACACTGTGACTTCAACATACACACTATTTTAAAACAAACACACACACACACACACACACACACACACACACACACACACACACACAAACAAATAGCCAAAGCAAGCTCATGAAAAGTTACTCAATATCGTCAGTCATCAAGGAACTGTAAAACAAAATCACAAAGAGCAGGGCATGATTGTGCATGCTGCACTCCCAGCACTCAGAAGGCAGGATAGGAGTTTGAGGTAAACCTGGGATACATAAATATTTCCAGGTCAGTCTGTGGTATACAATTCCTAAGAAAGGATCTTCAAAAACAAATAAACAATTCCACTAGCCAAGTAGAGGTGGTGCACACCTTTAATCCCAGCACTCGGGAGGCAGAGGCAGGCGGATCTCTGAGTTTGAAGCCAGCCTGGTCGCCAGGGCAAGTTCCAGGACAACCAGGGCTACACAAAGAAACCCTTTGTGATTTGGGACATTTCTCTCTGGCAAGTCTCTTTGGGTTGAAATTCTTGTCACTAGGACACTTGCCTTCTCCCATCCTTGCTCTCTCTCCCTACATATGCTCAGCTCACTCCTGGAGCTTGTTCTGTCTCCTGCCCATCCTCTTACTCGGCTCCTGGCTGCCTCTTGGAATCTCTTTTCTTCCTCAAACTCAGAGATTCTATTAAGGCTAGACGTCTTACTGCAAATGGCTTGGCTTCAGTATAGTTCAATAGCCAAAAACAGCACACAAGATTTCCAAATTCTTAGACTTTAACAACTTCTGCCACTGCACAAACAAATGATCCCCAAATATCTTATCTCTAAATTTTCTCTGCTTTCTACTCTCAAAAATCTCTTATCTCTAAGCCTTCCTTGCTCTGCTTGATTGTCTCTCCCTTATATTGCTAAATTCAGTCCCATCCCTCCCTGACCCCCAGCTGTCCTGCAATTTGCTCTGTAGACCAGGCTGACCTTAAACTCAGAGATGTGTCTGCCTCTGCCTCTCAAATACTGGGATTAAAGGCGCCACCACCACCCAGTTAAATTCAGTCTTAATAGAGACTTTAATGTCTTCTGGGAAATGGAGTTTCCATTGGACCTGACAATGATATGATTCCATTGTCCAGAACAGAAGAATTGACAGAGATTGAAAGCAGATCAATGTTCACCCAGGTTGAGAGATTAAGAGGAACAGGAAATGACTACTGGCATATACAGGATTTCTTGCAATTTTGACTATGGTGGTAGTTGTGCAACTCTGATATACTAATTTAAGAGTCACTACAATGCAATGTTCATGAATTATGTCTATACTATGGTATATAATTGTGGTGATATATTATTTATGATTTATTAAAGCTTGCCCGAGGATTCAGAAAGCCAAACCAGTCACAAGCCATGGCAGCTTACAACTGTCTGTAACTCCAGTTCCAGAGGATCAGACACCCTCACACAGACATGCAAGCAGAATACTAATGCACATAAAATAAAAATAAATCATTTTTTAAAAGCATATATATTTTATGTGAATGTGTGCACATATTTGTGTGTATGCCACACATAATTGGGGGGTCCTTGGAGACCAGAAAATAGTATTACATCCCCTGAGGCTGGAGTCTCAGAAGTTGTGAGCAGCCTGATGTGGGTTTTGGGAACTGAAATAAGGTCCTCTAGAAGAGCAGCAAGCACTCTTCACCACTGAGCCCTCCCTCCTGCTAGCCTCCTGGTTAGCTTTGTCAAGTTGATGTAACAGATTACACTGGGACAAGGTAATCACTAAGGGGCTGATTACATTGATTTGACTTATGGGCATGTCTGTGAGAGAATGTCTTAAATTAATGGATATGGGAAGACACAGACCACAGGGAGTGGCACCACTCCCTTGGCTGGGGGATCCTGAACTGTGCAAATGGAGAGGTCAAACTGAGTGAAATCACAAAGCACAAATGTATGTATTCACCTCTTCTTTTTTGTAGATGCACCATAACTAACTGTTTCAAGTTCCTGTCTTGACTCCCCAACAATAATGGACTATATCTTGGAACTCTGTAAACCACAGTAAGCTTCTTTCTCCCCCAAGTCGTTTTCTTTGTCTTCACAGCATCAGGCTGTCAATTTACACATTCAGGAAAAATAACTTAGAGGGTCTAGACTCATGAATACCAAACACAGATGAGAAAAGAAGTGAATCCTCTACTGAAAACAGCAGAATTAAAGAAAACAAGCAGATAGATACCATGCTAAATTTAAACCCCGAGCAGAAAAAGAGTCTAAAAAAAATCTAAAAATGAAAATACTTGAGGATTACCCAATAAAAAAAGGTACTTGTCACCTTATCTTTAATCAGCAAAGACTTCCACTAACAAGTTTTGTTCATTCACACAGAGCTTCAATTCAGCTTTTTGTTTGTTTTGAGACAGGGTTTCTCTGTGTAGCCCTGGCTGTCCTGGAACTCACTCTGGTCTACAAACTAACTCTTTCTTCCATAAGTTGCCTTGGACCTGATGTCTTCACAGCAACAGAAAAGTAACTAAGACAATGTATTAATATTTTCAAAGAGCTTTATGCATAATATTAAAAATCATGCATGCGTAAGAGTTTTCACATTACAAAGCAAATCAATATTTTTTAAATATTATGTGTGCATGTGTGCCAGAGTGTATGTGTGAAGAAGGTTGCACAGGTTACAAGAGGTGTTGAATCCCTGGAACTGGAGTTACAGATAGTTTCAAGCCACACGTGACTGCTGGAAACAGAACCAAATCCTCTACAAAGGCAACAAGTATCTTTAACTGCTGAGTCATCTCTCCAGCCCCCTTAATGCAACATTAATTTTCTCAATATGATTTTAGATTCCACATTTCAACTAACCTTTGTGAAGTTTTTCCTGTATCAAGGAGAAGTTTAAATACTAACTTAATCATTAAATAGTACCTTTTTGCAAATAGCTATTTGTATGAAGCTGGAGTTTCTTCAAAGATTTCAATAAAAGTTATCCATAGCGGCACACACTACCTAGAAGACTGAAGCAGGAGGTTCATGAATTTGAAGCCATACTGGGATGCATGAGACCTCTCAAAAAACTGGGGTGCTGGAGTAATGGCTCAATGGTTAAGAGCACTGGCCACTTTTCCAGAGGTCCCAGTTTTGATTCCTAGACCACATAGTGACTCACGACTCTCAGTAACTCTGTCCCAAGGGATCCAATGCCCTCTTTTAGGCTCCGGGGCACCAAGCACACAAGGTAGTACACAGACACACAACACAGGCAGGCAAAACACCTATACACATAAAGCATAAAATAATTTTTAAGTTAAAAAGGAAAAGAATGTCAACAAAAACAATACAATAAAACAAGCTGTAAAGAGCATGGGGACAGAAGAGATGGCCCCGTATCTTCTTTAAAGAAGACTTGCAATGTCCCTCAATACTCCCCACACTTTCTTAATTTCTCAAATTTGGTTTTTTAAAAACGTCTTTGCTAGGCCTGGTGATGCAGGTCTGTAATCCAGCATTTAGCAGGTTTTTAGCAGAACTCAAGAGTTCCAGGCTGAGCTACATGGTAAGAGCCTGTTTAAAAAACAAAACATTTTCCCTCCAAACAGTAAATCCTTTCCCCAACAACAGTCCTTGATGTGAAAAACTCTCAGCTTTAAGAAAATGTTAAAAATGGCAGGGCCGTGGTGGCGCATGTCTTTAATCCTAGCACTTGTGGGAGGCAGAGGCAGGTGGATCTCTGTGAGTTTGAGACCAGCCTGGTCTACAAGAGCTAGTTCCAGGACAGGCTCCAAAGCTACACAGAGAAATTCTGTCTCAAAAAACAAAACAAAAAAAAAACAAAAAAAACAAAAAAAAAAAAGGAAGGAAGGAAGGAAGGAGAGAAGGATGGAAGGAAGGCAGGGAAAATGTTAAAAAATTAAGAGAAAAAAACATAAAAAGGAAGGAAAAAATTTCATTCATTCTTAGCTGTATAGTCCTAGAGTGCTACAGATATTTAAATATAAGGAAACTAAAAGATTATAGAGTTTAAATTCCATCAAAAGCAAATCAATTATCAATAAAAGACGTACAACAAACCTGAAATGTTTTATCAAATGATGAATTCCAATAGAAGGCTCTAGCCATGGTATTATGACTGATCATGTTAGTAGAACCATATTCTGAATTTCTGGAAACATTACATCAACTTTACTAATCATTGTTAAGAAACAAAAAAAAATCTGAGTACATATATTTGTAAATAACTAGATATTATTGCCTGGTCTAAAAAGCAAGTTTCAGGACAACCTGGGTTGTTACACGGAGAAACCCTGTCTCAAAAAAACAAAAACAAAAGTAAACAGACAAAAAAAAACAACAACTAAGTATTATAAAAGGTTCAAAATATAAAATAAAACAAAATAAACATTTAAAATATATTCCCTAAACCAAAACTACTTTATTTTGAAGGCAAAAAAAAAAAACAAGAAATTAGAACTGCTCAGAGTATTATAACTGTTTATGT